TTTTTTTTTTTTAAAGTGAAATCCCTCTTATACTAATTGTAAGTACTAAAACCTAGTTAATTAAACAATGTCTGAATTATTGTTTGCCAGAGTACGCCAGTCTGTTAGAACTTTCTACTGACAGTGCTACATATAGTTTTAATTGGGAAGCTTAATAGATTTGTGTTCTACAAGATATAATTTATTGTAAAATTAAATAAAGATGAACACCAAATATAACATGGTAAACCCCTAAGGGAAACATCCATGAGCCCCCATACCACAGGTAAAATAATCTACTATCAAAGAATAAAAAATACAATATTTCAATTTCAGATTTTCGCAAAATTTAACAAAAACAATCAAATCCTTGTTTTATTTCTTCTTTTGGCATGTTGGGAAAATAGAATCAAACCATCCGATATTGACTTTATCGTCATTTCACTATTGTATTCGACCACAAACATTACTTGAATTAAGCTTTACCAATTTTAACTTATGCCAAGTAGCTTGATCTTAAAGTAGATTATATCATTCACGCTTAGGTCCGTTATCTTCAATTGTGGTTGAAGAGCATGATTTTTACTTTGAGATACTTCAATGGAACATGAGCCAATAAGAACTCACTGAAGATGGTACTTCAAAACTTGCTGCTGCAAGTTCACCAGATATAAACAGATTTTTTTCAAAGCATTAGTTCATCCCTTATTTGTTTTCTCCACTTATGTAGAGACTCCTCCTAGGTACAAACATGTCTTACCTAAAATATGGAAATTTTGCATGCTAAGAATAAAATAGAATATGTTTGATAATGTCAATAATTAAATTAAGAAAATGTTTAATTTGTTAAAACAATTTTTCCTTCTTTTAACTATTTGACCAATCAAACCAATCCAATAAGTGTGTGTGTGTGTGTATTTGATATGGCCAATGACTAAATTAAGGAAATTTTGATTTTTTTAAATCAATCTTTCATTCTTTTAATTATTTGATCAATCAAACCAGTTCAAGGTCGGCCTCTCTCCCTTTTCATCTTATCTTGAAAGGGAACGGTCTTCCGTGGTTGGTGTTATGTTGCGGTATCTTATGGAATGAGCTTAGCTCTTTCTCAACTCCCTCTCTTTTACTCTGCATCTCCTCGATATCCTTGATACATCTCATGTAAACTTATGTGAGGTTTTGATTTCTAGCCAAGCCAATGCCTTCGATCTTTGGTGGTGACATAACTTTGCCATGTCTATTTTGTGGGATATTTGTTGTCATCTACAAGCTTGATATGTTGAAGTTTATTCATTTTGGTATGCTAAACATCCACATGGTCGTACTTTTACTATTTTTCTTTGCTTATATCAAGTTAATGTCTTAGTCATTTCGATTACATAAAAAAATCTAGCAATAGTAGTTGAAATGTATTGTCATTCGGGATTAAGTTTTGTGCAATACTTAAATTCAAATTTTACATCAAGTTAATTACTAGGGAAAATTGCAACAGTGATCCCTAACCTTTTCATTTTTTACAAACTTTACCCTAACCTTCATTTTGTGCCAGCGAAGGTTCCTAACCTTTCATAAATACACACTTGGGGTTCATTCGGACGGAAACCGTCCAAAACATCGTCAGTTGATTGGCAAAATTAAGGAATCAACATCCAATAACACCGTCCAAAAATGTATCAACATCCAATAAAACCGTCGAGGTAGCAGATAGTTCAAGGAAATTTCTCGATCAACTAACGGTGTTTTGGACAATTTCCATCTAGATAGACCTCGGGTGCATATTTATGAAAGGTTAAGGACCTTCGTCGGCACAAAATGAAGGTTAAGGTAAAGTCTGCAAAAAATGAAAAAGGTTAGGGACTGCTACTGCAATTTTCCCTAATTACTATTGCTATTAGGTACGGCACATTGAAAATCAGTGTTCAAATCGTTATTGATCTACTCCCATAGCCTACTCTGGGCATGTTGAATCTTGCAAGATAATTGAATATATGTAGTATCCATTAAGATCTGTATTATTATAGGAAAATAGATTTGTGTAGAAAATTTAATGAGTTAGCTGATACAGTTGATTTTCTTATCAAATAAAGCTTAGTATTGGAATGTATATAAATTCTTCTATCTTGCATATTGAAAATGACACAGGAATTATTCTGCAATATATTGTTTATATTCATAGTATCTGAGTTATGTCCTAGTAGCTCTTGCAACCTATTACCTTTTGATCAAACTACGTCATGGCAGAAACCATTAATACAGAAACATCAACAGATACCGATAAATTGGATCTCTATTCTCTATATCACTCAGATCATTTGAGCATTATTCTTGTCTCCGAACTGCTTAAAGGAGACAACTACGGTATATGGAGTCGTGCTGTGCGAATTGGTTTAAGTGCTAAAAATGAAATCGAATTTGTAATGGGTTTATCAAATCGCCTCCTTCGACAGATGCAAGTTTCGTGTTATGGCACAATGATATGGTCTTGTCATGGTTATTAAGCTCTGTTAATCAAGACTTAGCAAGTAGCGTCATGTATGTCGAAACTGCTGCAGAGGTTTAAGCTGAGCTACAAGAGCTTTTCTCTTAAGGAAATGACTCAAGGATTTATCAAATCAAGCGAGAAATTGCAGAACATAGATAGGGACAAGAATCTATTTCTGTATAGTACACCAAATTTAAGGCATTCTGGGATGAGCTTTCATCCTATCATGACTCTCTAACCATGTGGTGACTTAACAAGAGAGAAGAGGAGGAGAAAATCATGCAATTTCATATGGGATTGAATAATAGCTATTCCACAATTCATGGACAGATCATGCTGATGCAGTCCCTACCCAACACAAGCCGTGTTTATTCATTCGTCCTTCAACAAGAAAAACAGGTTGAAGTTTCTATCAATCGTGGAAATATTAATCATCATGCTATGTTTGTAGATCAGCAGAGTAAAGCAAATCAAGCTCGGAGACACAAATTAAGGAACACGTTACATTGTTCATACTGTGATCAAGACTATCACAACATTGAGAAATGTTATTTTCTTCGTGGATTTCCAGTGGGTGATAAACTGTTGGAAATTGGTTTCCAAATTAACATGAAAGATCGGAAATTGGTTAAGTAAAAATTGAAATCGGAAAGTATGACTAACGTGTCAACGTCGGCCGAATATTCGAACTTGATCTGATGGTCAAATTACAAAAGTAAAAAGGTCATCTTGTTCTACTCATCGAGTAGATGATCGTAGTATATTTGGACATTAGAAAACAATTCCGGGTGAATGAGAAATTGTAGTTCAAAGATTGGAGAAAAATACGGTGGAAAAGGACTAAAATACACTGTCGCTTGATGTTCGCTCGAGTGACAGCATCGTCATCGTTCAATGTTCACTCGACTGACAGTCTCGCTTGCTCGAGCGAAATTCAAGCGAAAAACGAGCGAAGTATGTTTTGCTCGGATTTTTGAAGCGCTGCCGAGCGAAAAGCTAGCGAAGATGGAATGTTGCAATTATTCGAAAAATTGCACGATTTATCCCACACCCCTTCCTCCTC